CCATTGTTGCTGGTGGATATGGTCTTGAACTTGGGCTTGGTGATGGAAAAGCTTTATATATATCTTGATGTAGCAAAAAGTGGTGATTATCACGAACACCAGCGCACCTACGAACGAGATCATAAAAGGAATCCTTATGTTGTAAAGGCCTGTCAATCCACTCGCACCAGTACCGATCCAACACAGTGCCAGATGAAGCTGTACTCTCTTTAAGGTCACCACCTGCCTATATCTTAACCTGAGAGAAAGGGCGAGAAGTCTGTCCACACTGATCGCAGTTAACGTAAGAAGAGACACTCCACATAAAATGATAGCGACAATTCATGCCGCAGATGAAGCTTTTTACAAGTCTCGCTGTTTTCTCGAGAATGATAAAAGGCGATACGAAGAGGCTGAAGGAAAATGGCTACTCCAAGGTCAGTACATGCAAGGCACCCAAAAAAAATTATCGAAGGTGGACCAAGAACTCGAGAGGAAACCTTCCGCAGTGCAATGAGGAAAAGGATGTTTTCCAAGATGGCTGCGATGCAAATAGCAATATCAAAAGTTGAGATAAATACCAATTGAATTCCATTCAGATAATTGCTGCCGATAATTTCATTGGATGGTGCTTCGTTTCCCTCTTTGGATATAGTCTCCATTCTTTTCGTGGTTTCACTGAGAAAACGTGTTTACTTTGTAATGGGATGGATTCACTTAAAATTTTGGCATTAGGCTTAAGATTTTCCTGGTCCCGTTCAAGGCTCAGCACAGTCGCACTGATTTGCTATGAATTCCGGTTTCTTCACTTTTATACATTATCTGTTTTGTGAACCCAACAGTGTTGAATGACAGAGTGCAAAAACAAAGAACATTGTATGCGTGGTTGGGGAGCTCCCAGCGATGTTTTTCATTTTCGAATCTTGCTGGCTTTGCTAATCAGGCACTACCAACAACGTTTTCAAAAACCGTGAAGATTCAAATCAAGGTTGAGTTATTAATACCTAAATTCTGCGTAATTTTGTAATTGTTTTTAATATTTCCGCGGTTTCTTTCTTGCATCTTCTCAGCTGTTCTCCATTCCCAGATGATAAACACAAAAAGCGATGGCTTCTTGCGAAGTTTTGTGGACAGTTCGTGAATTAAGTAAAGGAACAAAACTGTCTAATGGTCGCCCTCACTGCCTGCCTAACATCCTTCATTTTCCACGAGTAGACAATTGGGTTAAGAGCAGAGTTCAAGGCAACCAAAGATGCCGCTAGAAGAGAGACGAAAATTGGCCCTTTTCCAGTTTCGCCATTAAACACTATCTCCATGGTGTAGGGAATATAGCATACAAGCAGTGTCAGCTGCACCCATAGAGCGCCTTTTACGGTATTTTTGAAGCGGAAGAAATTCTGTAGGTTGCGTCCCCTGATTTGCTGTCCATTGAGTATTTGATCGTGGACTTGGGCTTGATGACGACGAATCTTTACAAATATTGTAATAAAACAGAAAGCTGAGATTGTTAAGCACAACGATGTACCTGAGTAGGAGATCATAGATGTGATTCCACCTTTAAAATGATAATATGAAAATCCAGTAGGAATGCTTCCCAGCCAAACTAGACCAAGAGTGATCCGCACTCGTCTCAAATTTACCACCTGCCTGTACCTTAGCCTGAGTGTCAGAGCAAGAAGTCGGTCCACACTAATTAAAACTAACGTTTGGAGAGACACTGCACATAAAATTAGACCTACGATCCAGGATGACAATGCAGCAATAAAACAAGTCTTGCTCTGTTCTTGAGAATTGTAATGGGCGATACGAAGAGGTTGCAGGCAAATGCCCACAACAAGATCAGTACATGCAAGGCACTCAAAAAGAAGTTTCGAAGGTGGATGAAGGGATCGTGATGGAACTTTTCGCAGTGCAATGAGGATCAGGATGTTTCCCAGAATGGCTGCGACGGAAATGACTGTATCAAATGTTGAGATAAAAAGTAATTGTGCTCCATCCAGTTTATCCCTGCACCAAATATAATCTTCAGCTGTTCTTTGGTTTCCATCTGTAGATATATTCATCTTCTTACGTGGTTCGGATTTAATTGAATGATTTTATAAAAATTTTGGCGAAGCCTAAGATTTCTCCTCATCAGTTGAAGTAATCTGTTTGCATTTAAAGCCTAAAGGGCTCTTTGTAATTGTTATGGGTTTAGCTTTTGGACCTGACAGTGCAGAACTTTTAATGGCATTGCAATTACTTGCCACTGAATGATTAGTGGAAGCTTCCCGGTGATTCATTTCGCCAGCGTCAGGGTTAAAAAACAAAGAACATTGCCGCATGCATCATGCACAGTTGGGGAATTCTTATTGCTTTCATATTTGTTTATTGCCAAATTTTCTGACACGTCATTTCTTTTTACTATGTTTCCAACTACCTATCGATGATTCATGCCAGTTTTGAGCTGTTTCTGATCTCCGTCTTTTGATTTCCTTTTAAATTGTAACAAAAAATAATAATGGTTGAGAGTCATAAAGAAATAAATACGATCTATCGATTTTACCTGGTTTTAGTCTGGCACTCGTTAATTCAGATCTGAAAATTCAATCAGCCAACTCTGTTTTCCTTTTCTCTCAACACTCATGACTCATGCCAGTTTTAAATTGCTCCACTAGAATTCACTGTTCTTCTTTTGAATCAATGTATCCTAGGATTTCTTTCTTCAGCTTTAATTTCTCTCCGTGTCAGCTGCACTCCATTTTTCGAAAACATAACACCTGTGTTACATGTTTATCAGAGCAAAGAAACTGGAAAACAGCTGACGACCTTAAAATTAGCCAACCGTGACAACATCACGGCAGTACAAAATTAAATTTGAGACTATTCCAATCTGGCTTTAAACACGGGCCGTTGTTTAGAAGAAATGAATGGCTATTGGAGCCGGCAAAATTAATGATGAAAAAAAATATATTGCTATTTGGTTTGTAAGCTCCCTTGCCGGGCACGATACATTGTTACTTTGCCCTCGCACTTTCTGGCTAAATTATGGAAAGTTTCCATTGGTCATTTAGTTGAAAGACATTGCCGGGGTATTGAACATTGTTAGGTCCAAAATTTAAAACAGCCAATAAAAAGACGTTGATGAGTTTAGCCGACGACTTTCATCCACTAAACATGGGAGGCTCAATATTTACTAGGAGGATCTTAGAATTTTGCCAGAATCATTCCATAACAAAATAGATCCAGCAAATGATAGCACGTTAATAAGGGAAAACAAAAGAAAACAAAAAAACAGGACGACTACCTCAAGATGGAGAATGCATACAAAGGCAGAAACCACATATCAGTTGTAGATGTTATTTCGTGCTCGATAGATCTGGATGGTAAACAACTGGGATTTCTCTTAGCATTCAACGTGGCAATTTGCATCGCAGACATTCTGGGAAACACCCTGATTCTTGTTGCATTTCGAAAGGTTTCATCCGTTCATCCTCCTTCTAAGCTTTTATTTGAGTGCCTTGCTTGTACAGATCTTGGTGTAGGTCTTTTACTCCAGCCTCTTCATATCGCCTATGTGATGCCTCAAGAAAACGCCAAGACTTGTTCTCAAATTAAACTGGCTTCCTGGATCGTGTCTATCACTTTCTGTTGAGTGTCTCTTCTTACGCTGGCGGTGATGAGTGTAGACAGACTTCTTGCACTTACACTCAGGCTAAGATACAGGCAGGTGGTGACTTTAAGACGAATGCAGTTTGTTTTAGCTGCTTCCTGGGTCGGTAGCAGTGCTAGTGGATTGTCAGCTCTTTATAACAATAGGATTGCTTTCACCATTTCGTTCCTGGGTACTCTGATGTTTACCACTATCTCAACGTTCTGCTATTTTACGATATTTATAAAGCTTCTTCGTCACCAAGCTCAAATTCAAGACCATATCCACCATGCACATCATAACAATGGAGGAAACCAACTGAATGTTTCGCACTATAGAAAGACAGTATCAAGCGCCCTTTTGGTTCAACTGACATTGCTTGTATGCTATACTCCTTTCGGTGTGGAGAGAGCGTTCATTGCTAATAATAGACACGTGTCATCTTTTGCCGCGGAAATAGCAGCTTCCTTTGTCGCGCTGAACTCTGCTCTAAACCCAATAATCTACTTCTGGAAAATAAGGGAAGTTAGACAAGCAGTGAAAACAATAACTGAACAGTGTTGTTGTCGAAGTTGAGTTCGCTTATACTCTCGTAAATTCAGCAACGCTCCGTCACATAGTGTTCGCTTATTTAATGCAAAAGACGTGATGCAACCTGAAAAAAATTCAGGATGTGATCGCTGACCCTTCCTCGCACGATCACTTTTCACTTTAAGCACACGTTAGAGAATATATAATTAAGTCTGCGAGCGTGTTACAGCAAAGGCTGCGACATGACTGTCAATTCTAGTCACTGTTTATACCGTCAGGTTCGTAAGTAGAGAGTGTGTAGCTGTGCACCAAACTAATTAAAAGTAACATGAAAATTTTTTTGTATGCAAGAAGGTACCCTGCAAACAAGGAAAGATAACAGAAATTTGCCAGACAAAGCAAAAATTAAAAAAAAATCAGTATCAAATTAATACATAGCTTCCATGTTGCCATATCTCTCTTCAGTACGAGGTCAAAATATGGTATGAAGAGAAAAGTGGTGCACGAGATACAGTCGAGCGTGTGACTGATGCGCACCGCATGCGGATTTAAGATATCATGAATATTTCTTGACTACTGGATGTCGTAAAAACTCACTACCAAATAGTCTTGTGGCGGGCAATCTAAAGACGATCTGTCCTTTTTGCTTTCCGTTTGTGGTTCGTTCCACTCTTTTGTTGCAGTCGTTTAATTCGCTAGATCGAACCTTTTTGTTTGATGAACAGTTCCTTACGAATTACAAGGAAGGGTTTGGTGACATACTAAGATAACAGCATCTACTGCGTCACTTAAAGATGTAATTTGTAGTTTCTCATGGAGAGAGAGGTTTACTGTATGAATACCAAGTTAATACGTTCAATCAATTTCATCACAGCATATTTATTAAACACCCTAAATGTAAAAGTTGAAACTGCATACATTAAATGACGGAAATGTCTGCTGGTCAATAGCTCTTCCGCAAGCTATAAATGCTGCCTTGGGAAACATAACGTAAAATACACAGACACACTCCATGACACCCTCGATTGAATTTTTTATCACATACATTGGGTATTTATATTAATTCTGGTAGTAAAATATATATCGAAATATTTCAACCGTTTTATTAATTCTGTTAGCAAAATACCTATCGAAATAGTTTAACCATTTGCAAACCTGCCTCTTGTCCCTAGTGTCAATGTTTTAGCAAACAGATTGATTTTTCTAAGACTACAAAGAGCTGTTATTTTTTTTCCTTTGAGAGCAATGAGATGTAATGTAAATTAGTTTATTTTCACAGTTATCCACGCCGATTGTCCATGCCATCACCGTCCTACGGTACAGAGGTGACAGCGCTCGCCTCCCACTACTGTCGGCCCAGTTTCAATTCCCACACCTAGCATAACATGTGGGTTGAGTCTTTTGTTGGCTCTCGTCCTTGTTCCGAGGTTTTTCTATGGGTCCTTTGGTATTCCTCCCAACATACCAAATTCCATTTTGACCTGGAAACAGTGGACAAGAACAGCCACGTCCTGGCAAGTCCACGACTACTACATCACCATTATAACTATGATCATAATTATCTAAATTGGTAAACACAACGCAAACCTGCACATTTTCCCTCGAGGTAGACTTGGGTAGACTGGTGTTCATTAACACCTCTGTACTTCTTTCTTTTTCTTTTTGATTGATTGATCTTATTTCGCCCTCGAACAATGGATCGTTGCGATGAACTCTTCCGTGCGATATTAAAACTATCCTTCCTTGTTAGTTTGTACTGTCAGGCAATTCTTGACTACTGTTCAGGGCGTTGTCCAATAAAGTCACGTCCTCCACCTGGTTCGGAATTGTCACCTTGAGTAACCCATTCTCCTCCATTGCTTTGCAAATAGCGTGTTTTGCGTGAACATTCCCTGACCAACAGCGACGAGCGACCTGCATAAAAGATTACATTTTTGAATGGACGACACCAACATGGACACGGTTTAAGTATTCGGGGCAATGAGAGTGGGGTCATCCAATTTTTAAGAGTTAAAAAAAGATAAGTTTTCTCTTACTCCGTTATTGACGTCCCATGATAACATCATACGAGCTCTTTTACTGGCCTCCTGTCAGAGAACGAAAAAAAAAAAAAAGGAAAAGAAGGAAAAAAAAAAGAAAGAAAAAAGAATTTTTTAATCAAAACGGAAATATAACGAAATGTTTGAGCCTTTGGTGTTCCTTCACCATTAGAAATTCTTTAGATATGCACGAGGAAATTATTTACCATTATTTCATATCCAAGAACGGTTGGATAATCAAACCTTTAGGCGACTATCAACCTAACTTACTTCTGATCCGTCTAAGAGAAGACCAAAGCCTCCATTGATAACCTCACCCCTAAAACAAAACAAAGAATCAGTAGCTTAACATCTGAATGGCCAAGACCACATTTAAACCAACTAAAGAGGACTGATTACTGGTAAATTTCGCTCCTGGAGAGAAAAGACAGAGACATTCGATCTTATCATCCCACTCCACCCCCCAGCACTATGAAGACTTGCCATCCCACTCCTCCCCCGTTATGACGACTTACCATCCCACTCCTCCCCCGTTATGAAGACTTACCATCCCACTCCTCCCCCGTTATGAAGACTTACCATCCCACTCCTCCCCCGTTATGAAGAGCGACCCACGTTGCTCCACGGAATGAATCTCCGATTACATTCTGAACCGCCATGTCTGACAAACAAACATATACGCAAGTATCACTTAGACTGGAAATGACGACATTTACACGACTATTTCAATTGGAGCATTTTGATAATGTGTTGTCTTAACCAAATGACAACCAACAGAGTCTTTTTCAAGAACAACAGCTACAAGCAGACAAAAGAAAAGGTAGAGAAAAACCACATTTCGACAAGAGGAAAAAAAATCTTGCGTTCTTCAAGTCAAAAGAATAGAGCTGTACTATTAAACCACAAACCTGCACAGAAACTGGATCCATCGTAAACATTTGAAGTCTCTCGGTATGGACTAAAAAAAAAAAAAGAAGCACGTTATGCATAAAGTAGACAGTCACGCATGATTTTCTTTTCTTTGACTGCTTACCCAGAGGCACGATTTTTTTTCATAAATGAACACGTTGCAAACCGAACACAGAACACTATGTGAGCTGAGCCGAAATAAAAGACGGTAATTAGGTGAGTGCGAAATCTCCACCAATTATAAAGCTCTATCAGTTTACCTGTCTGTTCCACTAACATCATGGTGGTCTCGACTGATAATTACACAACCCTGGAAAGGTGCCACGGACAAATATACTCATTAGTTAGAGAGAAGGTATGCTCTAACAGATGTGGTAAAGAAATAAGTCTTCGTTAACTTCTACTATTAATCATAGGGCAACTAAGCCTAGTTCTCATTGTTTTTTGCTGTTTGTTGTTGTTTTCTTTTTATCGTTGCTTGTTTGTTTGTGTTCTGCTTGGCGTCCGTTTGTTTGTTTGTTTACCTGTTATCATAATTAGATGTAGACTGATATTAATCAGCCCCTAAGAGCGAATGTACAATAACTGACATCATTTTTTGCACCCTCTCACTCCAATGAGTGACCAAGACAGAATTTCTCCTTACAATACCAATACAATATCCAACAGACAGATGATGAGAATAAAGAAAATTATCAATCAATGGATAATTAGTTGATCCAATACCAAATTCTCTGAACTGACATCATAAGATTTGTATGGCAAACATAAGGAGAATCCATATTACTGAGATCTCGGAAGTAAGAGGGTTAGACAGCTTCTGACATAGTTAAAAAAAATACATCTCAAAACGCTAAACCACTAACCGACAATATCTCTTCTCTTATTGCCTTATTAAACGCTTCTGCGAGAGCAACGCGGCCGCGCTGATCTGAGTATAAAATCCTTGCTTGAGACCCAACTACCTGCAAGTCGAAGACAAGGAATGTTCCCTTGGTCAGTCAGGGTCTGGTTAGTGTTTAGCATCTTTTAACGATTCGGTTAAGGGCTCGAGATTTCTATCTTGTGATCCTTGATGTGGGCAAGGCCCATTCAGTTAGCACTGCTTGAAGAATAGGAATCTAGGGCGAATAATGTGATTCTTTTAGTTTAAAATCCGTAGTTATTTAAAACTTTACTACAAGACTGCCTCGTGATTTTATTTATTTTGTTCAAAACAGCCCTCTACTCACTTTAACCACTATATATCACGTCGTAGATAGCGAGGAGCGCTGCCAAACAGAATGCAGCAGTGCAAAAACTTTTTTCAACGGTTCATGATTGAGATTGGTGGATGCGAAAGAAGGAGTTGAGCTCGCAATTAACAGGAAAGCATCAGGTTCAGGAAATGTGAAATGTCACATATTCTTTTTTCAGATTCATAGAGGAAAAAAAATTAACTAGCAAATAACCAGATTGTGTTGATGAGCTTCCTCAATCCACTTCAAATTATCTTCATATTGTGCCTGGACATCAGCGGATACTGAAAACAAGGAAAATAATTCAAAGGCTTAAAACATGGCCGCTGAAAATGAAGCCTACAAACTAACAAGCAAATGAATCCCAGCTTACATCCTTCTGCAATGATTTCTCGGAAGACTTTTTTGGCAATATCGTCTGTTGTCGCTAAATCAGCTGCCAGGCCTGTTGTGCAGACCCACCTACGGAATGAAATTATAAACAATTACTGGATGAGGTTTTTGTGATATCCGGAATAATCAAGGTCGAGGTAAGTGTTATCAGCCGAAGCCTTCGGCTTCGGCTCTCGCCGGGTCGATGAAGCAATCGAGAAGCCATTCTTACTTCGCTGTCCGTGAACTTGATATTGTTCCACCGGAAATCATGCATTGCGCGCGCGCAACCTAAAGATTATTCACTAATCTGTAGGTACAGATTAGTGAATAATCTGTAGGTTGTGCTGTTTCCCAAAATTAACTGTGGGCGTTTAGCCAATGAGAAGACAGATGGTGACTACAATGTACAATAACATGAATTACATTAACATTGATAACGCCCATGATAGCAATAATGGTAAATAGGCCATTTTACAGTTGTGTACTTAGTTGGCAAGTTTCTGATTTGGAGTGAGGCTAAGGGTGACTCTGTTGTGGTAGAGACCAGTATCTAGTTGGCAGAATAACAAAGTAATTTATATTTCAAAAGCAGCGAAGTTTGTATCATAACAAGGTCACCCCTAGCCTCACTCCTGTTCAAAGGCTTAGCAACTAAGCACGCAATTGTAAAGTGGACTATTGCAGCACATTGTCGAGGATCAATGCCTTGCGTGACTTTGATCATGTCGAAACCTGTGTAACGCGTTGTAATGAACTCACCTGAACGGCCCAAACCCCAAAGAAAATATATCTCTATAAAGAAAATAAAGAAAGTCTTGTTAATGAACCAAAGCGCAGCTTATTCATACAACTTCAGTCTCAATAACGTCACCTACGATAAACAAAGAGAAAGGAAGGAAACAGATCATGGTCCTTTTTTTATACTAAAGATGAAAACGAAGAATCCTAAAAGATTGATATTTGTCAAGCAATACTACACAGTTTGCAATACTTTTACGAAATATGACAAGACTGCACCTATCTATAAGAACTGAGTTGCAAATTGCGTCAGTTCTCTTTTGTACCACAAAACTGCTTAAATTACCAATTACTGTTTTTTTTTTTTCGGATTCTGGTCTTAATCATGATTTTTGGCCTTAATCATGAATCATACCCCATAATATCTTGTACATATGAAGGGTAACGGAAAACGCCTAGCGGAGCACTCTCTTTATTAACATCAGCTCCTATACAGAAAGAAAGAGAAAGAAAAAGAAAAAAAATCAATACTGAAGGAAAAGAAAAAAAAAATCTAAAAAATTAAAAAAAGGCCAAGATCCCTTTGCTTAAAGATATTTTCATCCGCCAAACACGTAAAGTTTGACTTTCAGCCTGTAGCCGAAAAATTTCAAAGCTATAGCGTCATGTTATGGCGGTGTAACTTGCACCGCTTCGGTTTGGACAGTTTGCGTAGCAAAAAACAAACAAACGAAGGGATTAAATTATGCTGACAGTATTTCCTCTAACAAGCGCCCACGTTCTAATAGCCCCTCTCAAAATAAGTGCCCTCCCGGGTAATAATGTCAAACAAGCGCCCCTCCCCCCCCTCAAAAAGCATTCCCCTCCTCTTTCACTTCCTTAAATAGTAGGAAAGGAAATAAAACCTGCGTCTATTGCCACTTAATTCATAACCTTTTAAGCTTAACTACAGCTGAATCACTACGGGAGAATAATAGGCTCCTTCCTCGATTACGCACCCCTCGCTTTTAGTCGAAATTTTAAATAAGCGCCCAGCCGCTTGTTCGAGGAAATACCGTAATACATCACCGTGTGAAATTACATAGTGCCCCTAAACCGTGTTCTACTCAGATCAAATAAGTATAAGAAGAAAGATAGATGAATCCCAAATAAAAATAATAAGAACTAAAACGTTTAAAACGGTTGAGGGCCGCAGGTTAGAAATCTTTAACAGGTTATTGCCCTTCCCTCTTTAAATAAAGTAAAGTAAAGTTTCTTTACAAGTAAAAACTTCACAGCAGCAAAAAGCGCCACTCGGAAATGTGAAAAAAAAAAAAAAATTAATCGAAAAAATATGATTTGAGAGGGAAGCAATTTTCATCAGTTGTGTCCGTGCTTACCCGCCCGGCTCGCCTCTAAGAGAAACGCATTTCCATAGTCCCAAAAGAACATTCCACCATCAGTGAGTTCATTTATCGCTGCCACTTGTCGACGTAAGCTGAAATTGTACAGTAGACAGAACTGTCCAAGTGCGGCTCTTTCCAACCATTTTCAGCCCATCCATTATTGTAATTAGAGCTAAGCAGCTACCTCTGGGGGAACTTCCCTTACTTTTTTATCATAAATTTGGGCAAAATACAAAATATGACACCGTCATTACGTTATTAGGGACCTTAAAAAAGCCACAACGGCGACGGTAACGAAGACGTGCCAAAACGAAAGATCTAATGAGCAGAAAAATTGCTCAGCACGTGCGTTTCAAAACTTTGTACATTTCTT